CGTTACGTTACGGTACGTACGTACGTTACGTTACGGTTTACGTACGTACGTACGTACGTACGTTACGTTACGTTCTACTACTCTACTACTCTCTCTCTCTCTCTCTCTCTCTCTCTCTCTCTCTCTCTCTCTCTCTCTCTTTCTCTCTCTCTCTCATGAACTTGGTTTCTTTTGTTCAGAGTCCAGATGGCTTTACAGTAGCAACTGCTGCTGCAGATGAAACACTGCGATTTTGGCAGGTGTTTGGACCAGCAGTCAGTACAACAACTCCAAGGAAGGGAAAAGAAAAAGAGACAGGATTTTCTTCTTTCAATCACGCTTATATAAGATGAGTGTGCAGGTGCAGTCCTTGTTCTTTCTTCTTCTTCTTCTTTTTTTTTTGCATTTATCATATTTAGACATTGCCTGAAATAATCTCTTCTATCTTCCTTTCAATTTTCCAGATTTTGGTATTGATGTTTGTTGTCATGGCCGAAGAGATGAAGCAAAAGATGTCGTGATTACAACACCTAGAAGAAAATGTAGAAGATAATTTATTCTAGATGGACATGCAATTTAGATCAATGGTTATTGTTATGTATTTATACTGGACGGAACGGGAAATTACATCTGGTTATCCTTGTCTTGTATTTATCCGAATGTGACACATAATTACTTCAGGTTACCTTTGTCGCTTCTCCATGCATTACTTCTTAAACAAAACTTGTTAAATCACTTCATTTTCTAATGTTAACAACAACTAGAGTTTTATTCATTTCGTCATTGCATTTGCAGGTTGCTTCTTATATCCAACATTTTGGTTAAAAAAAAAGAAGAAGGAATCGTGAACCATCCCATAGAACCCAATTCAGATGAGGAGATGATAGCAGTTCATTTTTTCTAGAAAGCAGGTAAGCTACAATCCAAATTTTGGATGTTGTGTTGCCTTAATGCCCCGAATCCAACAAAGTCAAGAGAGGGACAAGGGAATAATGCCATCTTTAGGGGTGGAGAACACCACTCCGGCACCGCCTCTCTCTGACTGGAAAGCCCCATGAAAGTACGTCTTCCAGTCGTTTGGTGCTTCTGTATAGAACACTTTTTCATCCAGGAGGTCATTTGATAAGGGAGAATCTGACAGTAAGGGATGTGCAGCTAGAGAGTCGGCTAGGGCTTGGCCTTTGATGGCTTCTGCGGCACATAAGTTATGTCAAATTCCATAAGTAATAGTGACCACTTCGCCAGATGTCCCGATAAACAAGGGCGCGGCATGAGGAATTTGATGGGGTCAGCTCATGAAATGAGTTGGACTTCATGGGCGAGCAAGTAGTGGCGGAGCTTTTGGACCGCGAAGATCAAGCCCAGGCACATCTTCTCAATCGGGAAGTAATTCTTCTCAGCCCCTTGCATCCTACGACTAAGGTAGTACAAGGCGGTCTCTTTCCCTTCTTCATTATGCTGTGCGAGGAGAGCACCAAGTGCCTCATCTAGAGTGGTCACACGTAGAATGAGAGCCTTCCCGGGTATAGGAGCAGAAACAACCGGAGGGTTCAATAGATAGGTTTTGATGTCCACCAAAGCCAACTATGCACCTATTGACATACTTTGTAACTTGTCCAAATAATCCTTACGCATTTTTGAAGCATGCCTATTGACATACTTTGTAGTTTGTCCAAATCCTTGAGCATTTTTGGATTTGTATGTATATTATGGATGGATAAAGAAAGGCATAATACCTCTTTTACTATTTTAGAGTCATAATTTGGACTTTTAAATACTTTGTAACTTGTCCAATAATCCTTAAGCATTTTTGGAACATGCCTATTGACATACTTTGTAACTTGTCCAAATAATCCTTGAGCATTTTTGGATTTGTATGTATATTATGGATGGATGCAGAAAGGCATAATACCTCTTTTACTATTTTAGAGTCCTAATTTGGACTTTTAAATACTTTGTAACTTGTCCGTATAATCCTTAAGCATTTTTGGAACATGCCTATTGACATACTTTGTAACTTGTCCAAATAATCCTTGAGCATTTTTGGATTTGTATGTATATTATGGATGGATGCAGAAAGACATAATACCTCTTTTACTATTTTAGAGTACTAATTTGGACTTTTAAAGACTTTGTCACTTGTCCAAATAATCCTTAAGCATTTTTGGAGCCTTAAGCATACTTTGTAACTTGTCCAAATAATCCTTGAGCATTTTTAGATTTGTATGTATATTATGGATGGATGCAGAAAGGCATAATACCTCTTTTACTACTGTAGAGTCCTAGAAAAATAGAGTCCTAATTTGAACTTTTAAATATGGATAAATTAAATGGTAGGAACTACTTGGAAAAACCATTGCCATTTTTAAAGGGTAGATACCGAGATTTTGGTGAGCTACCCTTTTGGTTGTGAGTGACACTGGACCATGCTTTCACACATCCATATGAAGAGAAATTGATTTGCCCGCAATTAAACAGAAAAATCGGTTTTCCCACATTGCAAAAGCACATTATCAATCATCCCCGAACTTGGATTACTTAATAAATGAAGACTTCTCCTAGGATTATTGGAAGTAATGTCTTTTTCTTGCAGGCAATGGAATCCATAGAGTATGAAGTGCGGCATTTGTACATGAGCTTGGAAGCATTTGTGAAGTTGTTAGAGAGGGAATATATCTAAACAGAAGTAAATCAACACCAGTGAGGATATTGTTCATGAGTGTGAGTTGTTCTCGTTACATGATAAAGCATGCCTACTGATGTTTGGGCAGATGCTTGCCAAACAATCTGCATCTAGAGAGAAGGCCTACTACCTAGGTCTCCTCATCAGGTTTGATTGTTGTGGTATACGCTTCCTAGCAAAATGAGAGGCCATGATGATGATTGGTGCACATATGATCGGCACATCCATCATCGTTCTATGCATACGGGAGGGACAATAAGAAGGGTTCACTCTTGAATCTAGGCAAGAAGAACATGTTGGTGATTTGCTGGTGTGATTGTGGTATTGTATAAATGGTGGTCTAAATTTCTCTTTTATATGATGCTTCCTAAATGTGCAGTATTTAAAAAATTGACCCAATCAATGAACATCAAAGTAAAAGTCTGGGGTTCTTGATATTTGTGTTTTTTCAATTGGATTCTATTTTGTTATGATCATGTATGAAATTGAAATTATATTTGAGTTGGTGAAATCTGTATAATGTCATGTATTTGATCTAAGTATATGTGTGTTATTAAATGTGAGTACCGGTCTCTCTAAAGATTGTCATGTGAAAGGAATGTATATAACTGTATATTGTCTACCATGTTAATATATGAAGGAAAAGTTTATACAAGGTTGCAACCTTAAAACGCAGAATTACAAATGCACCTCAAATATCCATCGGAGAATGTTGTTCCAATGTTGAAAAACCCTCTAATTGATCATCTCGACATTGAGATGTATGAATATAAAATAAAAAAAGATTTGAGTCTCATGAATAGTGCATCTTGGAACACATTATCTAGACCGTCCGTTTTCAAGATTTCATTTATTTATAGATCTACTTGATTTTAACCATTTTTAGATTTTTAAATTTCATAATTAGATATGAAAATAGATTTTTTAAATAATCTTAAGAATTTTTTACACCAAAATTACATGTTGTAGTAAAATTTGGAGGTGCGGCTTAATTGGATTGTTTAAGGTTGCCACCTTATAGAAACCACACCCTAATATGAAAGGTGTATATTGTAATCAGTATATATGGGAAGGGTACACCTTTCATATTAACCAGGTAGACAATATATACTTTTTTTTCACATGTCATAGACTTATAAAATATATTTTATATGATCAATTATCCAACCCTTCCCGTTTATATTGATTACAATATACACCTTCCATATTAACCAGGTAGATAATATATACTTTCCCTTCACATGTCATAGACTCATAAAATATATTCTATATGATCAATTAGCCTATACTAACGAAATTATTGTTGTTATAATGTATTATTATATATGATAAAGTACTGAGGTGGTACCATGTATCAATCGTTTCACTAGTTTGTAAAGTTAATTTTGCAGCATATTTTACTGTAGTTTTTTCGTTTCAAAATGGCAAAAAGATAAAACAGAAAAGAATAAAAAGCAAGTAAAAAGAAAAGGAGAAAAGATCACATAGCAAAATCATCTCATACAACATATTCAACTTTCAAACAATATTAAGTGAATATGTTTTAATTCAACAATTACTATAGAAAACTGAAAATATATTTTATTAGTGAGTAGTGACAGTGTTAGCCATGGATTCAAGTAAAAGTTTACGTTGACATTTAAAAGTGGTGGTTAGAGTGGCAGGATAGACGTTTAGAATTTTGTTCCTATTGTAGTTTCAAGTAAACATTATTAAAAAAAACATATTACATTAACATTGTCTAAGATTTCTAGGAAGCTAAAACTTCCAAATTGGTACATAAGAAAACGGGTGCGTTATACATAATTGCAAGTTTTATGAGGATTGGACCGGTTATGGACCGGTAAGGCATGGTATGGAGTCTAGACAAGTCTTGTGTGCCTTTTCCCTTTGAGAGGGGAGCCATCAAAAGTTTTGCCCCTTGAGTCATGGTATGACCATCTTTAATTAGTTAGCGAGCATGCAACTCATGCATCAAATGAGATGGGGTGACTCCAAACTCCAATGGTCAGTCCGTTAAACCCTCAACAAATTTTTAAGGGCCCGCATATAGGAGCTGCTTTACAAAAAAAAGTGAGGATGCTAATTTTTTTTATGAAACAATGTATTAGTCGTTTCTAATGAACTTGGCCTTGGCCACACCGCTATATGTTCATATGTTATTAAAATTATGACCCTGCATTTTTCAGAAATCATATTAGCCTTGTTTTTTATTTTATTTCGAATGATGTTGTCAGGTTGTATTTATAATTATGCAATAGAAAGTATAGATCTAATAGGTGGTTAGTTACTGTACACATTCTAAAAAGGCACTTGATAGACTAAGTTTTTTTAACGATTACCAGTCCCAAAGTCCACGACAAAATGGGAAGCAAGCAATTCATGGCTTATCTACTACTTTGGGAGGATGGTTAAGCTCTGGATTGAAAAAACTTGAGACCATTGCTTCTTGCAGTTCCATGCCCTAAACCTATAGAACTAAAAACGTGCAAGTTGCTATTTATTGGTTCTCTAAAGTCCTGCTAAGAAAAGATGAACACCGACTTCTTGCATATTAATTGGATAGACACATCAGTAAAATGGATCTGTGCCTCTGCAAGAGATTGGAAAAACCATAAAACACGCTAAAACCAGTTAATTGTCTCAAACTGGTTAATTCTCTCAATCCAAATTGACATCAAATTGCCAGGGTTTTTCATAATTAGAGTTATTCATAAAATCCTTAATAAATAGATTTTCAAGTTTCCCCTGCAGATTTGAATAACTCGACTATTGCATCACAACTCCAATGCCCTGACCTTACAGAAATAGAAATGTGCAAATTTGCAATCTAGTGGTTCTCCCCAAAAAGCCAACGAAAAGACGAGCACCAAATTCTCACATACTAATTTGGATAGACTCCAATAGAAAATGATTGAGATTGATAAACATGAAACACATGCAAAAATCTGCTTTAATCCAAATTAACATCAAATTGCCAACAGTTTTTCACAAATAGATTTTTTGAGATTCAATCATCAACCACTTTGCCCGGTTGTATGTAAAGCCCTTTCACCCCCAACCCTAAAGCGGAAAAGAAAAGCTCTTTAAGTAATTAGTATATCTTAGCCAAATCCTGTGTGCCTGTAGAGGCAGGAGACATCACATGACAATCCATAAACCCATACCCTACAAATAGGTAATCTAATTACAACTGTGTATGTATGTAAAAGACAGCTGTGGAGAAGAGGGAGGGACAGATTCACATTGAACCATGCCCAAGACCAAGGATCTTGTCGTTAATTTCCAGGCCGAGAATATGGGCATAAGCAAGCAGAAGCAACAGAACATAAAGCTCGCGATGGACATAAGCAAGTAACAGAACAGAACATATCAAACCAAAGCCACAACCATTTTAAGTAAATACCCATTTCAAGTTTTACAACTACACGGTTTGCTTCAGCTGGTCACCGCTTTAATAGGACTGAGTTCTACAGAGCAATAGAGCTTATAAACATCACCCAGCAGAGTTGATGCCACAAGCTAGAATGTGTCTTTTAACAACAATATATATCTAAAAGCTTCTAAACTTATGAGGCCAGTACCATTCATGTATTTACAAAGATAAAAAGTTCCACATATTAGGCC